AAACTGACTTGAGCTTGCAGATGAAGGTGGTTGGTTTCTTTAGCCTATTCTCGACCCTGTCGGTGGTGAGAAGGGGCGTAGGCTTCCTCTCCTCGGTGTGTCCCTTGGGCATCTGAGACTTGTGAGAATTCTTCAGCTGATGTCTAAGCTTCTCTTCTTGTCTGTGTTTCTCTAGCTCCCTCTTCTTCCTAAGCCTCCTCTCTTCTTCGGTCTCGGTTTTGCCACCGGAGTTTTTAACATGAGGCCTGTGGTGGTGCTTCGATGCCGGCCTTGAAATCTGTTGCTTGGAGGAGCCTTTGTCACGGGGGGGATCGGGAACGAGAGGAGGAGGAGGAGCTGAGGGGGGAGGAGGAGGAGGAGGGGGAGGAGAAGTGGGAGGAGGATGCGGAGGCTGGTTGAATTGAGGAGGATAGTGCTGATAGTAAGCATGCGGCGGCGGAGGATAAGAGTAGGGTTGATGCGAGGGCGGTGGAGGCGGAACCGGAGGGGGTAACGACGGCGGAGGAGGCGGAGGGGGTAAAGGATTGTGAGACGGCGGAGGAGGATGCGGCGGCCGGTACGACGCCATTATCTCTGATCTCAGTTCGATTTCTTCCCTGAACGAACGAACGAAGAAAAGACTAATTAGTAGGATTTAAAGCTCCGGTCAGACCCTTTTTCCTTTTATTTTTAGGGCCCAATAACCCAATGGGCTTTCTGAATATGGCGATTAGTTTACGAATAAAAACGCAATTAGCTTTCGACTAGTTTCAGAACATTTTATCATTTTATGTTACATACAACATTTTATCCGATGCCAGACCAACAAGTCATGAAGAAAAGGCTCTTACCTATGCTATGAGAATGAGACTTCACAAGCCAAAGATGTTATGGTCATTTGCACTGAAAATAGCACCGCCAAACTGCCTCGTGTTCAAGTCGCCTCCATCAAAGGAGGATCCAAACCGGTCGAGCCACTGGGCAGGACTGGGATTCTCTGCCTCTTCCACCCACTCCGACATCATGTCCATGTCCTCCACGGCAATCGGGTCAGTCTCCAAGCTTATCATTCTCCCCAACTTGAGATTCTGATTCACGTGCGCCAACTTGTTCAGCAACTCTCTGTCAATCTTGTTTCGCCTTTCCCAGTGCATCTGCTGGAATGTGCTCCATTGGCGTTCCAAGTTGTAACCGCTGCAAACTTGACTCAGTATCCTGATAGCCACACGCTGCAACACGGGTGCTGAGTCACCAAACTGCTCCCACCAGAGGCCTGCATTACTTTACACACCATCATTAGACATCAACTTTTAGTGCTATGATGCCAATATTTACAAGAACCAAAACCACACTGCATCCGAATCATCTGCCATGGATGGATGATAACCCTAAGGCTAGCTTGTTGAGGGAAGATATCTAAAAGCTTTGCAATTTTAACTAGTATGTACCAGGCTATATCAATCTGGACTTATTTACTTGTGTGTTATGATTATACCTTTTATTGCGGTCACACACTACATTAGGATAATTTTTCTATTGACTCTGAATCTCCGTTCACTAGTCAGGTTGGTTTAAAAACCTTGTATGAACATTTCAGGTTACGAATAATAACCCCCTTGGAATTTGACTAAAAATTGAGTTGATGATTTATTGTCCGTACCTGGTGATACTGTATCCCTCGCCTCCATCGCCAGATTACACCCGAACATTGCTTTTGCCCTAGTGAAAGTGATTATCTGAGTTGTAATATCACGCCGTAGATCACTAGTGGGAAGAAGTTTCTCCAAAACCTTGAAAAAATCTTCTTTCAAAGAAGTAAGGAACTTTATCTCCGGGTTATACTGAATACTGGGGTTCAAGAATGCAGCAGCTGCATGAAGAGGTGAATGCAAATGGTCACACCAGTTTGTATCAACGATGTCAGAAAAGACCTTATGCTTATTCTCATCCATGATGTAGTATGTCCGTATTGACTCCTTGGCCCTCGACATTAACTCGTATATAGATCCTACAACAGGCTTTCCACCAGAAACTTCCCTCAACACTTTGAGGATAGGCTCGGAAACAGCCACACTTTCTTCCACAGCTCTCCAGAAATCATTATCCTCGAGGATACCCACACATGACATGCTCTGTGGTTTATTAGCGTGCGTGGAGTAGTCAGGGCTATTAAACATTTGTTTGAGCCTTGCTTTCTGCTTCAACATTGACTGTAATGATAGAAAACTGGAGACGGGCCTTGTGACACCGCTTCTGATAATATCTTGCCCACCTGTAAACTTGTTCATCAAATCTAGCAAGGAGCTATTGTTGTAGACGAACTTAGATATCACCTGCGCTTGCGAGATACATCGGTTGACCCAATCCACCTTGGAGAAATCTTCTAGTATCATGTTCAAACAGTGAGATGCACAAGGGGACACGAAAATGCTTGCATGGTTTTGCAAGAGGTGGCTTGAGATACCTGTGTAGGTGAAGTTATTGTCCATAATGATTTGCACTATATGGTCTTGCCCAAAATCTTGAATAACAGAATCAAATAAATCAGCAAGGAATTTAGTGTTCTTGAAGTAGGAGGAGGCGTCGACGGACTTGTGAAAAAAGGATCGGGAAGGTGAAGAGACGAAGAAGTTGATGAGCGCTCGTGATTTGTTGTCTGTCCAAGCCTGGGCGATGATAGTACAGCCAGTGGTGAGCCACTCCTTTTGAGTCTCTTTGAAATGTAAAGTAAGTTCTGAGTTGATCTTGTCGAGCCATTGGGTCTTGAGAGAGAGAGGAGAAGGAG